GGCTTTCTCTGCAATTTGCACCACGTGGCAGAAGGTTCAGAAGAGAAGCCTTAATATTGGCACAGAATGTACATTCACATAAAACAAAACTGGGATTCCAAAATGATGTATGCAAAGCCGCTGCAGCTACTGAGGAATGAGAGCAATAATATAGCAAACAGAGTGTTAAATGTGAAATTAGCTATTAGGGCTATGAAAATTGCGATAATCATGCCAGAATTGGGGAATGATTCTATTACAGAAAGGATTGACACAGACCAAATGAGTGTCTTAGACCTCGCTGCTGCTCTGTTCAGAGGCAAAATTGGGACACAACACGAGGGTGCAGATGGCAACTGATGGTGGAGCCCCAGACCTCAAACATCTGATGCTATGTGGAAAGGGATTAGTTGATTGTTTGGCCTGGAATGTTTGAAAGATATTGGCGCTGTAGACTTTGGAGGAAAGAAGGCTTTGCAGTTGTGGTAGGTATGGGTCAATGAGTTCTTGCACAAATTGAGGACATATAATGAGATTGCTATGAGGTCATGACAGTGGGATACCAGGCAACATCCAAATAGATGTGTGTACAAATGCTGATTATGTACTGTCTGCCTTTTGAAGAGTATAGAGAATGCAGTGAAAGGTGTTTTTGATATACCTGAGGAACTCATATTGTGCCATACTCTACATTTAAGCATACAGGAAGATCTAATCAGATTAGACAGATAGCATTGATAGCATTACTACATTTATATTGGAAGCAGAAATCCTACTGAATAATCCTTCTTAAGTTGGCCTTAGCACCTGGGCTCCAATATGATCCTCTCTGAATTGTGTTGAGATCACCTTAATCAGGTGGATTCAGCAGAACTTCTGTTTAATTCTGATTCTTATGGCACTTTTCATATTGTGATTTGGCTTTAAAATTGCAGTGTAAATTGGATTGATTGTCAATGGCTCAATGCAAGGTTTTGCAGCCATTCGAAAGCTTTAAAAAATGCAAATGGGTTTAACCTCTAATTCAATTTGATTGACAAAATCTGATCTGTTAATAGAAGTAGATGTCAAAAGATTGCACAGAGAAATAGCGCTGCATATTGATCTCAATACTGGTCAAAAGGTTAAATTAAAATTGGCCCCTTTTCCTCTCGTTGTTAGATTTATTTTTTAACTCTACTTTCTAAGGTTTAGAAATGCTTATATATTGTTGAAACACTTTGGAATTTATGTTGCTGTTGTCTGCAATCTCCTCGGGTCCTGTTGTATTCTTGTCCCTTTATAAATACTAGTTATCCTTGAGGGTCTTTTGAATGTCTTGACTTTTTGGTTCCTTCATTCTTAAAAAAATATTTCTGTTTGGTCTTTAGGTGACTTTGGTGTGGTTCAGGTTTTGCTTTGCTCTCATGAATCTAGCATTTCTCTGAAATAGTCTCAAATAATTTTGTCTAGTTCTATTTTTCTAGTTGTATACTTTTCAGCCAATCCTACCTAGAGCTTTTCTAGCTAAAATTCACTACCCTTAAATAATTTACTCCTGTGTAATTAGGATAATGTTTCAGTGAGTCAACGAGAAACAAACCAGAGTCACAGCAGTATTTGGCAAGCACTGTTATGAGATGATTGACATTTTTAGATTGGTATCCTGGTATTAAAAAAAATACTGACTTTCCTGTTTATTTAATGCTCACAAGATGTTTGAAAATCAGCATATGAGTAATGTCAGACAAACAGTTGTCTTATGACAACCTGATAAGATGGGTCTTAATGGATGCATTGTATATGTAGTACCACATCACTACACTTCACAGTAAAATCGTTTGAAGCGCTTTGAGACTTCAACATATTAAAGCACTATATCAAATGCTATATTCATTTGCCTCAAGCAATTTATTTCCTATCCTGTCAAACCTACAATGGGAATGTCTAGTGGAAACTAGTGAATTCCCTTTAGAAGCACACCAGTTTGTGTTTGTCGGTGTGATTACAAGTCTTAGGTATATATGCTCCAAACAATTGGAACGTCAATTTTCGTCAGCATTGTTTAACACCAATCATTCATTTCTGCTTGTGAGCTTAGCTGTGTAAATATTATTTATTTCCTTCCACATTTAAATTTTACAAATATTGAAGTGTAGGTGTGCCAATTCATACCTATAGTCACCACTGCAAATATCTATAGAAATCTGAGAGTACTTCTTTTCACATATACACTGGAGTAGCAGTTATTAAATCTTAACAGTGTAAGATTTTTTTTCTAGTTTCTCTCTTTGTAGATTTTTTTATGTTCATACTTTTGGAAATAAGATCTTGTGAACAATATTTAATCCATTTATCAATATGCTTCTCCGAGGAAGGTGAAAGCTATTACTTTGGCAGTCAGCCTATAAATCAGATAATGGTGAATTACAAATACACAACTATCTTAGTTAGTTAAATCACAATATTGTTTTATATTGACTTGTTTGCTGAGGTTTTTTAAAACAAATAGTGATTGATTTTGCTTCAAGCACAAATATTTGTGCACAATTGTATGCATCTGCACTGTTAAAATCGTGTTCATAGAGCATTTTGGACAAATGCAAAGAAAAGCTTCCGCTGAAATAAAAGATTTTTGTATGTTTCCATTGAAATGAAAGGCAAATTGTCTTTCTATGAGAGCTTGTACTTCAAATGTAGGGACAGTGATCTTACAAAAAATATTCACAGATGTTACCTTGCATAATTATAACATATGGAAATAGAGTGTCATCTTCGAGATTAACTTTAGATTTGAACAGACAAACAGATGATTTCCATCTGATGAACAGCTGTTTTGGTAGGAAATTAAACCAAACATCAATTGTTATAAAGTACCATCATGTCCTTTTAAAACATGTTTTCTAGCACATATCTGAAGCATTGTAAGTTACATCATGTTCAAATCCATAACAGCACTAAATGGAAGAGTCAACATTTCATAAAACCTTAAGAGACCAGCATACAATATTGTATCATTACTGGTAAATTGCTAGTAGGATAATCATATCCGGGTCTTATGTTTGTATCATATACCCTGGAGCCGTTTGTGTACTTGTAAGTCATGTCTATATTATGGTGAGCGGGATGTTTCCAAGTATTCCTTGCCACGTGGGAAGAAGGAAGTTGAACGGAAACCTGGATTTTTGGCTGAATTGACACAAGTGTGAGACATTCACTTGGTGTGAGTTTGGGAATTAAGACCATCAGTTCAACTAATTATTTAAGTGATGGATCTGATCACTCACAGTGACCAGTCTTCTGGAATGTACAGAATTGTTTTGATTTTATGATCACAAAACCTTTTTTAAAAAAAACCTTGGGCGTATTTGCTTATGAAATAGAATTGCTAATACATAAGTGGATATGCAAACGGACCATAAGGAAGTTAGATCAACATTCTATAACTACTGGTAAGCCTACACGTGGAGTATTGTGTTCACCTTTAATTCACTGCAGTTACGAAGGGCCAGAGGTACTCGAAATGATGCTAAAGAAAGCTCTTGGAAACCATAGTGACCATAAGAAGCTGCTACCTTTTCCAGCGCAAGAAGCTGCTATCTGGTTGCAATGTTGGCAACTTTAATATTCCACAAAACCTGTATCGGCCCATGGATGAAATATTCCCATCTTGGTACATTATTGCTCACCGGTGGGAAAAGTTGCTCATTTCTGATGAGGGTGTAGAATGGAAGTTGCTGAAGGATTGCTCGTCAGTATTATCTTACGCAGTTCACTGTGCACTTTGTAGCCTCCTCTAAAGACACTAAACCATACATTCTCTGAAATATTCTCACATTTAGCTAACTTTACCCTCAAATACTTCATTTAACTCTGCTATCTTCTTACCGTCAAGTTAGTCTTGGATGTACGTTCTCCATCTCATGAACTATCTCATATACCTCTCTAAGATCTCTGGTTATATGTTCCTTTTTACTCCGGTCTTATCCAATGGTTCCTCATTAGCTGATCCCTCAAACACAGGGAAAGATTCATTTGGGTCCTGCAAACTCCCTTGATGGCCCTGTTGTGTCATAACAAAAAGAACAGTGGAGTGCACCAGTTGTCTGACAAGAGCTCTGAACAGTTTTGACATAACTTCCAGAGTTTTGAGCACAACTACAATGGCAATGTGGTCCAGTATCTTGATCGTCCTTTGCGAATTATTGCCTGACACATGATGGATAATAATACACTTGCTTATCACAAAAAAGGGGACTAATTTGTATTTATAATTCTGCAGCAAAAGACTTAACACTGAATTGCAAATCATAAATAATGACGAGGCCAAGTCATCGTTTGCATTCAAAGACCAAATTCTAAAAGCAGAAATGTATAACGAGGAGTACATTTAGTTTACGGTACTTTTCTATTACTGGCTGTCAAACTATACTTAGAGATCTAATGCCAGGAGGAGAATTAATAATTAATACTGTGCAGCAGTACTTAACCAGTACTGCATTAGGTCGAAAGTTATCTGTGCCTATTAGGAACCCAAAAGATATTGATTTGTGATTAGTCAATTGAGGTGATCCCAAGGTAGATGTCAACTGAACACTTGTCAGTGTTTCCACTTACGGAAAATGTCAGTCTCGGTGGGGGGTGGGGGCAGTGCAGTGCTTTAAATTCCTTCTTTCAACAGGTTAGAGATTTTATAAAACACTTAATTTACGAGTCATAAAGAATGGAAGTATTTTAAAGTGAAAGTACTTGTCCACAACACTGCTGGATGGGCTACAGAGCGCTTCACTCTACACCTAACAGTTTATATACTTTATCTACGAGTGCCTGGCCCTTTCTCACTCGTGGGGTGTTTCAGTAGTGTGTTACTCTTTTCCATGATGAATTCAACCCTCCTTTTCACCCAAAAATAAACAAGTGTTTCCCATACCTGACCATTCTCCTTTCATATTTTCTATTTTATGCAATATAGCATTTCTGTATACGTTTTTTTGTGATAAGAAGATTATATCATTGTTCATTTTGTTTTATTCCCTTGGTAGCTCGGCAGTATAAGATAAGCACAGCATGCCTCGAAGTCCAACGTCAAGTGAAGATGAAATGGCACAAAGCATTTCTGATTATTCTGTTGAATCTGAATCTGACAGCTCAAAGGAAGAAACAATCTATGACACTATCAAAGCAACAGCAGAGACGCCCTGTGCCAAGATGGATGACATACAGAACAATACATTGGTCATCAGGATCATCATTCCTGACTTGCAGCAAACGGTAGGAATAAGCTCAATAAGAATTTGCGATTCAACCTACTCATCACCGAAAGAATGTTCGTAAATTGCAAACGTCGGAATGGTGAGATTAATGTGCCATTGAGTTTTTCTATTGATGAGAATCAATTATATGTTTTAATTCCCCTTCCTGGTGCATTAATAGGAATGTGTATATTCTCATTTCACTTGCAAGTCAGTATACCTGGATAACCTTTATCACGAGTGACTAAAAATGTCATATTTATATTATACCATGTGAAACCTATTGATAAAAACATTGTTATACATTTAGTCAACTCCTGTGGTCCAAAGCTAAGTAACGATTTCCCCACAAAGTACGAAAACGCTGAATTAATTGCAATCGCATCACAGGCTGGCTATGAATTTTATTTTGTAATCTTTGACAGAAATGCATGAGATTTAATCCTGATGCTACCGTGTGGGTGGCCAAGCAACGTGTCCTGTGTACTCTGAATCAGAGTTTGAAAGACGTGCTGAATTATGGCCTGTTCCAACCAGCAAGCAATGGAAGAGATGGAAAGTTCCTGGATGAGGAAAGACTGCTCAAAGAATACCCTCAGCCAATAAACAAGGGCGTTGCCTCGCTAGAGGTAACGACATTATCTGCCACATGATTGTAGGAGGGCCGTTGTATTTTCGTTCATCGACAGATTTATTTAGTCACTCGATACATTAAAAAAATTACATGTGGATTGTGGGACACTGCTGTGTGCAATTGGCTGCCGTGTTTCGCCCACAAAACATCCAGTCAATTCACTTTGCAGTACATTCTGTGAAGTGCTTCGAGATGTCTTGAAGACGTGATAAGGCGCTGTACCAAATGCAAGGATTACTATTACTATTTTTGCCATGGGGCCAACCCACTAATGGGTACAACTTTGAATGACTAAATTAAGCAACACTGCGAGATAACATTGGCAATATGATGAAGAATGGGGGGGGCGGTGGGGGGGAGGAAACAACTTGAAATAAACGTAATCTCATACTCATTAATTAGTCCACCTCCCTGTGCCCTTGAATTTGAGCAGGAGGTCTCTTCAATGTTTCTAATGCACTACAAGTGCTGTCCAGCTGAGATGACCAACAGAGCAGAGATCGAAACTACAATATTTTGGGATATATTGTCTCAATGCTGCATCAGGCAATACCTTTTACCCACTGGGGGTACCAAGGGAGTTCTGTCAGCAGTTCACTAATCAAATTTGAACAAATCTATACATGGTGTATGGATAAACTGTAATAGTATCCTTTTAACCACTAAACGCAGTCATTTGCACTTGATTGTTTTGAGCTCAATAATTAAGTTCTTTTTTCATTTTGCTCGAACGATTTTAAATTGCTTACAGCAATACGGAGATGATTTTAACTGAAGAGATCTAAGAATTTCAATCCTGCTGTGTAGTAAAAGGACAGTCTATTCAGCCATCAATAACTCAGGTCAAATCCTTTGTAAATGTTTGTGAAAAGCAAAACGTTCAATCGGGAAACATACTTTTTGAATCCATTTTCAGTTTTCTTACAAGAAAAGAGTCTACAGGCAAGGCAACATTGATGAAAAGCAACTTGCAAAGGTGCATACAAAGGTAAGCGCATTTTGATAATTAACATTACATGGTGAAAGTAAATACAGTACCGTTATAAATCCAGTAGGGTGTTCAGAAACATCAGGAACTATCTGTTGTTAAACTATTTGTTTTGTTTTCTATTTATTGCTTATGAGCAAAGTATCTACAGTTTACTTAAAAAGAAAACACAACTGGATTATTTATTATGATCGTAATAAAGTCCAAATTTCTGCAATAAATATAACATCCCCGGCAATTGTATAATTCATATTCATATGACCATCACTCATATACAGATTTAAACAAATTGGAATGTATAAGGTGTTCAATCTGGTTCACACCTTCTAATATTATCTGAAAGATTAAACTGTTGCCAGATGTGCATGCCAAGACTAGTGGTATTTGATGCAAGAGGGCAGGTGGAAACCCAAGTATATTGTCAGGCATTTTTCACCACCAAATTTAAAAAATATATATATTTATTGCTTTGTGTTTAAATGCATACTATTCCAAGCCCTGGTTTGTTTCCAAATGACCTTTAACATTGCTTTACAATTTTTTTTACATAACTGTGTTGAATCAATAACAATCACTTGGAACAAAATGAAAACAGATGCAAATTGGTGATAACTTTGGGTTTTAATATGTGTTAAAATGCAGGGTGTACTGGCCTAAACATATCATCTCCTGGCCTGTGCCTCCCAAGAACGGTATAGTTGAGATCAGGAACTCTTTTGTTTTAATGCCCATAAATAATATCCCATTACTCTGCGGGAGACATGTATTGGTTCTGCAAAACATGGTACTGTAAAACTGCTCATATAAATAAGAAACCTTAATATATCCATTAAAGTACTTTAACTAGATTCGTTGAGTTAAATGGTGGCCTGTAAAATCTCAAAAGGAACTAATCAAACATTTGCTTCGGGTATTACTTTCTTATTGCTCTGCTGAAATGTGATTAAGTGGAGTTCAGCAGGTTACCAGTAAGCATCTTGTGAAGGTCCCTTTGACTAAGCACAGCAAACAAAAATGCCTGAAGCAAAGAAAACCTTTCCTTTCCCTTATAATGAAGAAATGTTATCAAGGGGTACGGTACTAGGAAATATCCTCCAATCTATTTAATTGCTTCTTATTTTGAAGACTGTAATTGTAATAATAAACCTTATTTGGTTTGGATTTAAATGTTGCTGAGACCGACTGACACAAAGGGGCGACGCCCAAGGCAAACTTACACCAATATATTTTCCTTATTACAGGCCAACCTTAGGAAATTTTTGGATTACATTCAGCATCGTTCAATTGAGAAAATCACTAAACTATTGGATAGAGGACTGGACCCTAATTATTATGACGCAGAGAATGGAGGTATGTCGATACGCATGAATGCCTCAGCTTCCTTTTTTAATGCCACATCTGAGATTGTACAGAATTATTAAAATGATTAATCAAGTGAGTGCAGTCAGCCGGTGCTTATTAACTTCAGATAACGGACAGCACGGGAACAATGCAATACTATGCACTTGAAATAAACCTTTTTTTAAAAAAGATCATACGCACCACAGTCTATTAGAAGTGGCTTTGTTGTGACACGATCCAATGTCTAGCGCTAAGTGTTTCTAACACACACAAGTGTGCGTAGCAGGATGTCAGCTTGTCTGTAACGTCTTGATATAAGCAGCGAATGCAGGTTAGGCTATTCCCAAGAGAAAGGAAGGAAAATCGGTGAATGAGTTACACCACCCTGTGGCCAGTTTAAGAGCAGCCTTGCTTGCCACCTGGATCAGTTTGCTTTTCATCTCCGTAGCAAGCGAATACTTACCAGCAAAAAAAATGTGTGCATTAGTTTCAAATAGCATTCGGTTTGAAAGTTAAAACTTTCAGTCGATTTTAATGCACGACGTTTTTCTGTGGGTTATGTGCTTTGTACTCGAGTTTTCTCTATGTACATATTTGCTTATGAGATGAGAGCTGTTCTGCTAATCGCAGTGTCTTTTTACAAGACAGATTGTGTCTGTTTTTTTTAAAAAAAATATTCCAATGAAGTAAAACTAATATTTGGAGCAGTTTTTAGTTTTTTTTAAAAAAAAATGTCATTTCCTCCCACAACTTTAGTAACACTATTTGATTTCTCTCTCCCTCATGGTTTCTGCTTATACCAGTTATACTCAAGTCTTTAGTGAGAGCACATTTTTCATGTGTCATCTCCAATTGTCTTTGCTTCTCTCTGTGGCAAAACAGCTGCCTGCCCTTTGCAAAGTAGGTGAAAGAGCAAAACTTATTATTCCCCCTGTATTTGATGGCAACAGGTAGAATGATAAGTGTGGCTTACTGCCACATCCTACTGTTGTTTGCACAGTATCTCATTGGAGCACCAATGCACTGTGCCATCTACCTTAAAAGTGCATTTCTTGAAGAGAAACAATTTCCGTGCAATTCTGATTCTGTTGAGGGTTCAAAAAGATGCTACGGTTTATATAAACTCTTCTTCCAACTGATGCCCCTCACGCTTTGCCAACTGTGCCTTCTGCCAGAGGAACAAGTATTTGAAGAAAGATTGGCCCTGCTTTTGCAGAGTTTCATCGCATAAGTTAGTTTGAGCGTCTAAAGAATTTGCTGGTTGACTTCTGACATTTTGGTTTCTTGTCCAAGGGGAGCATTCTTAATGTGTGAGCTCAGCCAGCGAGTGCTGGCAAACAGACCTATTGTGTGTCTGGCCCATACTGTTTGCTGTGGCAATATTTGATGCCAACTGTGCGTTTGAGTGCCAAAAAAAGCAAACTGCATCAAATTCTATTCCCCAGTGCTCACAAACAAGCGATCAACCCAAAACATTTACTTTAAAGGAAAATGAAAGCATCTGAGACAAATGATTTTCCTATTTATTGGGCTTTAAATCTTGCAATGCTCAAAACTTCTTATCGAGTTTAATAATTATGTTACACACAAAAAGTGTATTATTTTTATAACGATAAGGGCATAGTCTTAAAATTAGAACCAAGCCACTTAAGAGTGAAATTAGGAAGCATTTTTTTCTCTCAAAGGGTGGTAGAAATCTGGAATTCTCTCCCCCAAAAGGCCATGGATACTGGATCCATCCACACCTTCAAGAATGAGGTTGATAGGGTTTTGGTAGGTCAGGGGAATAAGGGATACGGGGAGAAAGAGGGAAATTGGAATTGAAAGGGTCAGTTGAGGTACAGATCAGCCACAATCTAATTGAATGGCGGAACAGACTCGAAGGGCTGAATGGCCTCCTCCTGTTCCTACGATCAATAACACTACAGATTTTCTCACCTTCTGTTTGAAATTCCAATCTCTTGTATTATTGAAGCACAGAATTTGCTTTCTCTCCCCCCCCCCCCACCCCCCGCCTCTTCTACTTACAATAGAATCCAAGTTAAGTTACAGTATTTTCAATGTTATTTGGCAGAAGATGAGACAGCAATAAAACCCGAGCTACATTATAACTACAGTCAATAGGATTCTGAACACACTTTGGGGCATCGCTGTCTATTTTATACACTGGACTGGGAACTTTTGCCATTCAAAGCAATTTTTTAATATCTCTTAAGGGGAAAAAGTTTCACGGATCCAACGACTCAGAAAAGTGCTGACTTAGTGTATCACCTTCAACAAAGTTTTCACAGTACAACATATCGTTACAAATCCCACCTCAAGACCTTCCTTTTTGATCATGTTTACAGTCACCTCACCCCTCTTTCCCCCCCCGGCTCACTGTCAAGCGCTTCAGGATGCTACCCCACGTGAAGGGAGCTATATAAATGCAAGATGTTGTTGTTATGTTGTTAAGTTCCTCAGAAAAATAATGTTATCAGAGCCAGTGTGATAAGTTTTAAAATGGCAGTGAATAATCAGGAAAGAGGAAAAGAATCTAGGACAATATACTATATTTAGAGAGGAATGATCAGAGGAACAATAACTACAGCTTTCTCACGTAAAATATTACAAGTACGAAAAGTTAATTCTTCAGGCCTTTCATTTTGCTGCTTTGCTCCATTCGGGTCTCAACAAACCAGTTCTTCTCCTCTGGAGCAGAGAGGTAGGTTTCTAGCACCAGCTTTGCTACAAGGTGACATTTTAACGCATCTGGCATAAACGCTATTTTACCTGTAATCAAACAAACAATACAAATGGGGCATTGTGGTAAGGACGAGTAAATATATTCACCTCCAGCAAATAACGTGTAGGTCAGGTGGAGTGTTAGAAGTCCAGTTGAAGAATAGATGACAGCCAGTGATAAGTAATGAAAGAGACTATTTCTGGTCTAGCACCTGTAAATTGAAGTTGTCAAGATGATATGAGCACTGACTACAGCTATCCTTTCTGTATTAAAAACCTGGCTGCGCTCATGCTAGTGTCATCTGTGTCTGGGGTTGTCAAGATAGTAGGACAATACTAAAACTTATTAATAAGCCTCTGGTGAAGATTCCTCAAACACAGTCTATGCAATTTAACCCGGAGATGATTGTATTATGAGGATTTATTCAAATTAAGTTACAACAGAGGCTCCTTAGCCACCAGCTAACATTAGCTCCATGAAGCTAATGTTCAAATGGCATTATAAGCACAACATTATACTGTAGTTTTAATGTCTCCTCCAGCCATACAGTAACAAGAAAATGGAGACGGCCAAATTGCAACTAATCTCGAGAGGCAAGTGCCAGCAATTCTATATTTTATTTATTTTACAAGTGACGCATGGGTTTCAGGCAGGTTTCTTGCTAATAACTGCCCCCATTGGCAGATGTACTGCCTACTCCTGTTTTATTTTAGTTTAGTCAGAGAAGAAAAAAAGAATGCTCATGTGAAATTTCTCCAATGAGCAATGACCACATGACAGTAAGAAAGTGTACTATTTCTATAGTACGTTCCAAATATCAGTTGCTGTCTTGTGTAAGTTATAATTCCAAGCATTCTTATTGAGCGGAAACAAATGAATGGCTTGACTTGTTTTCTCTTTGGGGGCATCAGTGCATTCCCCGCATTGCATGATACGTTGCTTTCGCATTGATTTTCCCAAATCAGTGACAAGAACTAAAAAAAATGAAAGTTCACCCAATTTTGAGTTTAGGTAAATATATGCAGTCCATCTAAGTTTAGACGACACACACTGGCTGATCCTAGTAAATGCAACTTCCAGCTTTTTGCGCATTTCGTTTGACTAAAGAAATGGAAAATAAACCCTCACCTGATCAACGGTTCTCCTGAACCCCTAAAAGTGCCCTGTTCCATCTTTTTCTCCGTTTGTTGCTTTAAAAAAACCTCTCCTTTGAAGGGCTACTGCACGGACCCTGCACCTTGTAAATTATAATAATATTAATAATCTTTACACTTCTTATACCGCCTTTCACATCAGGAGGATGTCTCAAAGCGCTTCTCAAGATACACTGTCAAGTGGAGTGACTGTGTGTTTTGTGGATGAACGTGGCAGTCAGTTTGCAATATCCCACAAACTGCCATGAAGTGAATGACGCCAGATGTTAAATTATTTTAAAGACTCGGAGCTTGCCTTTAATTAAGTTTTCTCTGCCTATAGTTACTGCCAGTACAAGTTAATAAATAGAACAACACAATACATGTCAAGTCTGTCTATTTTTAGCAACGTATAATGTTATAACGTTGTCTGGTTGCCTGGAATGTCCTTTGAATATGTTTTTTGTTACTTCATTTCAATTTCCTAGTCTGTAACCTCATCTTTAACCAGATTGCTAATTATTTATTATCTTATTCGGTCCTTACAAATAAACATCGGCGCTTAATTAAGCAGCCATCTGTTTTCGTGGCTGGTTGTTGAAAGCCCTCGGTGTGACACCACCTTTATGCAGGTTTCAGTGCCTTGCAGACGTGATCATTAATTATGGTAATTTCTTCTTTGTAGAAACTCCGCTGACATTAGCCGCTCAGCTGGACAGCTCAGTGGAGGTCATCAAAGCTCTCAGAAATGGGGGCGCACATTTGGACTTCAGAGCCAAGGACGGCGTAACAGCTGTACACAAAGCAGCGAGGGCGAGGAATCAAACTGCACTCATGGTATGGTTCAATACTTTCCCCCTGTGGGTGTGCTCACTGGAACAAAATGTGAAAATATAGTGAGACGCACATCAATTCCTGTCAAATCTACTGAACAAAGACATTTTGTTACGCAACTGGGTCCGTTAAACCGGAGTTTTATTTTTTGTCGTTGCTGTCCGAGGAAAGACAAATTCAATCTGAAACTCATTAAAAGGAAACACAAAAAAGTGATCGGGATATAATAGATAGAACTAATTAATAGAGAGAAAGAGAGAGAGAAGTGATGATTTGATGATGGTGTTCAGATAACATTATAAACCACGAGAATAGGCTTCAGCCTGCTTCGCGTCCCCCGCCTCACCATTAGCCCCTTTGCCCCCACCCTCTGGAATTCCATCCCACAGTCCCTCCGCCTCGCCCCCTCCCTTACCTCCTTCAAGACCTGTCTCAAGACTCTCCTCTTCGACTGGGTCACCCTCCTACCCCTACCCTCGCTGCCCTCCACCCCTCCTGATCCCAACCCCCTACTCGGTGCCAAATCCCTGACTGTCCAGTGCCTTGGAACGCCCTCCCGATGTGAAAGACGCTATATGATACAAATGTGAGTTGTTGTAAATAAAGCCAGAATGAGAATGAAAATAAAATCTGGGCCTGGAATGGTGGGACGAACCATTTTTTAAATATTAAATTGCAAACCAAGCAGTTGACGCACTTGTATATGGAAATGTATCCGGTGTGTTTTACTGTATTTTAGACTTTCCTGGAACTGGGAGCTTCTGCAGATTATAAAGACTGTCGAGGCCTGACTGCACTTTATCACACTGCGATGGTAGGAGGAGACCCTTATTGCTGTGAACTGCTGCTCCATGAACACGCCTCAATTGGTTGCAAGGATGAGAATGGATGGCAGGAAATCCACCAGGTACACAACAAAATCATTCTCAGACCCCCCCAAGGAATCAGCTCCAGATATTTCAGTTCACACTTTGAGATTGCTTGCTTTTGGTGTACGGAAATCAACAGGTGGCTTAACGTTTTGTTTATCCAACACAATTTATCTCAAATATGGTTTTACAGTTATAAGACCTCTGCATTGTTTGCGATAAAGCTTATAACAATGATAAATCACGAGCAATAAAGTAATCATCATTAAATCTAGTACATTGACATAGGATAATACATAATTCTTTAATTACATTCGGCTTCAACATCAGCTGGAAACATCACTGCATGCATATTCCACCTACATATTGCATAGACATTTCACTTGATATCATTAAGCCATTATTTTTACTTTTATTACAATGTCATCATGCAACTATTTTTGAATAACTTTAGCTTTTTTTAAATTCAGAAGGAATAAATGGGACCGGGGTTGGGGGGGTTGGGGATATCAAAGCTTGTTTCAGAAGGTCAGTATAATGGCAGGTTGGACACATATATTATTAAAGTATTCTAAATAAAAGAAAAATAATTATCTCTAAAAGTCCAGCATTAGTCTACAGGCAATGCTGGAGAGAGCAATGAGGCTGATGACCAGTGTTGGAGTTTTCAAGAATTCACTTACTATTAATGCAATTATCTGTGCAAACACCTAGAAGTACCTGAATGCCTAGTGTCTTGTAGGAATTACCTAATTGTTGTAGGTGTAAATACATCTGAGTGCAATGTGTGCTGCTGTGTTTTGCTCACGAAATACACAGTCACTCCACTTTACCATCTAATCTGTGAAGCGCTTTGTGACGTCTCAATGACGTCACAAATACCATTATTATTAAACAAAAACAGAGAGAGCTGGGAAAACTTCAGCAGGTCAGGCAGCATCTATGGAGAAAGGAGGGTGAGTCAATGTTTTGAGTCCATGATCCTTCGTCAGAACGCTGATATTGACGAAACATTGACTCACTTTCCTTTCTCCATAGATGCTGCCTGATCTGCTGAGTTTTCCCAGTTCTCTCTGATTTCCAGCATCTGCAGTATTTTGTGTTTTGGCCATTATTATTATTAACTACAGTTCTAATCAAAATGTAGAATATAGGGAATAAGTTGTGGGGTGCTTTTTCTAGACTCTGTATCTGCTATTCTCACTGCATACCAGTTAGGATGTTTTTTTTGTGAGATACCTGCCAAGACACTCTTCTGAATGGTGAATTTGGTAGCAATCTTAGGGAGTTTGCTTTCACTCACTAAAGCCAAAGATTTGGTATTAGCAAAGCTCTTGATAGTTCATACCCGGGCTGTATTATTCACTCTTGTCACTCTACCTTCTCTTAATGACTGGTGAAATTCAATATTGAACTGCAAATTGAGTAACTGCAATCATCTATGTGACTTCCTGTTGAACAAAAATGCATTGCAAGAGTAATGGAAAGAGAATTAGGTCAGGCCCTCACAGTGCAGTTCTATTGCTGCTTCTAAAACTAGGACAGAAAGATAAATGTTTGAGAGTCTGTAAAATAAGGAAGTCCCTGCCTTTTAGTGCCATTCCATTGATTCTAGAAAATAAGAATTAAAATTTTTACTAATTTTCAGCAACACGTAAAGCTGATTGACGACTTAAGCTCCTGCACGGGTAAAGCAGCTATTTACGCTTGAAGCTTAAAATTAGTGACGGATCCGAAATGTGCATCAACTTCTGCCGCATTTATGTCCTCATTTATGTATTCTTGCTACTCACTAACAATGGAAGGGATAATAATAATAATAACCCTTGCATTTGATATAGCGCCTCATCACATCTTCGAGAACGTCTTAAAGCGCTTCACCAAATAAACTGTACAAGTGAATTGACTGTATATTTTGTGGGCGAAACATAACACAAGACCACGACTTCCTTTCGTTCAGTAGTCAAGATTTCCAAATTATTGCTTGTTCCTTTGCCACAGCTTCTAGGTATGTTTCCTAAAAAAACCATTGTGTGACAGTCTCAAATAATGCTTCCAGTGGATATAACATCACAGCTCAAGTCTGCCATCAAATTTACCATCAATTAGCATTGACTTAACAGTATTTTTCAGAGTAGTGACAGGGATAGACTCTGGGGAAACAATAATGTCACACTATTGTGATGTGATTTCTTATTCTGAGGCTGTTTCAGTAAAAGCGGAACTCTGCTGTTCTTAATTCAACAGATTGCTGCGTTGTGAGGTGTGAGAATAAGACAGTCTGCAGCCATGTGATTGTTTGTTAGTTGATTGGTTTAAATGGAGTTCAACAGGCCGAACAATCAGTCGTTTATTTTTTCTGTAATCCACCAATAATTCGACACAGTATAATTTATCTGTGACTGCACTAATTTTGTGCGGAAGTGGGTTTGTGCAGAACTGTATATGAGTACTTGTTGGTATGTGTGAGATATAACCCTGTCTGCAGCTACAGAATATCAGCAAGGCCAGGCCAGAGAGGAAAGGGAACAGATTATTACACAGAGCGTGAAGCTTTACTACTGAGACCATCTCGAGGAGATCATCTCAGGAGCAATTGGACTGACTCACTTCATTGCTGAATAAATGGACCCATGCAAATCAATAACTGTATTCCTGATCAACATTGGTGGTGCACTTGTGTCACACATCATATAGACATTTGTTAGGTCAGGGTGTTATGGGTAAGGGCGGATAATCGGACTTGAGGTACAGATCATGATTTTATAGAATGGCGGAACAGGCTCGAGGGGCTGACTGACCTACTCCAGCTGCTATTATTCAGCAATATCAGTATTTTATATCTAATGTGTTTGCTGTTTATATCCAATGTTCTCCTATGATTGCTACACGCAGGGTGAACAATACCTTTTTCCAGTGGCTCAGTTGATAGGTTCACTCTGGCACTGTCCAGGGCAAAACTGAGACAAACCTAGAAAAGGAAGATCCCAAGTTCGATCCATGTTTTAGTTGATCTCGGCTGGACAGCAGAGTTGCTCGATAATTGGTTTCAATGCACCTTGGGCTGGGGAGACAGAGTCAGCTAATGTGTCTGTTTCTGGACACATTTGAGACGTCTCAAAGACATGATTAGGTGCTATATCAAATGCAAGGATTATTAGTATTAACGCTATGTGACATCAAATTCAAAGATTGTTATTTTTAATTAAATTGATGCAAGAAAGCATCAAAATAACTTTCACACCACCTTGTGACCATCTTTTAAAGGGATTTAGAATCGGGTGTAATTGTTGTCCAAATTACTAAATCGTATTTGCTGAGCTTGCATTTGTTTATGTATTCAATCTGTTGAAGTAGAAGTCGTGGTAATATTGGCTCCGTTTTGTATTTTGCCCTGTATTTATTGATTAGTGCTTTGATTTATTACCTGAGACAACAATACAGTTTCTCCGCCACTGTCCATTACACTGTTAAATCTGCAAGTACGAAGTGGAGAAACAAGAGGAATTCGGATTTTATCCCAGACACTTGTTATTCATTTTTGTTCTTTGTTTTGTATTAAACTTACTCCATCCCCCTGTGACATGGCTAAACCTGATACATTTTTGTTTCTGATTTCCATGCACTCCTTCGTCATTTATATTGTTACGTAATTGTAAAATTAGCACAAATTCATGATCGCTATCATTGAAACCGTTGATTAATTTGGACTAAAATATCTGATACAGTATAATAGAGAGAATTAGTATTGAATTCAAGCCCTAAAAACAATGCAGATGTGTAGTATTCTTGAAGAGTTGCAAGGGGTTTTGTCGCATTCGTACGGAAATGCGACTGCTGTAGATGTCCGGTTGCCATTTTTAAGACCGAAAAGAAGCTGGTGCCTTCACCATCAGTACTATTGCTCTTCACAGATATTTGCTCACAGCTTAACGCCATATGTAATGCACATGTTTGCATCTTGACCCTCGGGTAGTAGGAAGCCTCAAGCACTGACTAGCCATGAGGATCAACTGAATTGCAATCAGCTGTATGGAGATTACTGGATTGGTGGGAATGGATTCACGGAACTTAGTGACTTGAATCATTTCTCACCCGTTAAGTTTTTTTTGTGTGTGGGGGTTTGCATTTTATCTTATTTTCCGTTGCTAACCATTGTTTCTAAGTGACATGGGATAAACCCATAAAGAGGTTAACTTCAGTCGGCCTTTTTCTTTCCCGATAGGCTTGTCGTTATGGTCACGTCCAACATCTGGAGCATCTGCTGTTCTACGGGGCTGATATGAGAGCACAGAACGCTTCTGGAAACACAGCTCTGCACGTGTGTGCACTTTATAATCAGGTGAGAAATAACTATCTCGTATTTTATTGCTCATTTTACAACGGTGACAACAAAATTACATTTGTAAAGCGCCTTTCAAGTCGGGAGAATGTCCCCAGCCGCTGGACAAGTGCTAGACTTCACAATAGTTAACATTAAAACTATCAGAGAATCTCTCCCAATATATTTTTTTCAATCATGGTTAAAGTAGCCGGTGAACCCAAGCCACAAGGGTGTTAATTTCTAATAGGAACCAGAGTTGTAATGTTCTAGGTAGAAGATTACATAGAATAGTACAGAACACAAACAACTGGCCTCCACCCTCCTCATCCCCTCTCCATTCCCCCTTCTGTTTCCTCCATTCCTCATGCAAGTTAAATTAAATTGATGCTCTCTAGTTCAATCACAACCTCCAGATGATGAGCTGCATATTCCAAACACATTTCTCACCACTCTCTGCTTGACTTATGATTCAACCCTAAAATATACCTGTTATTGATATTAAGAGAATGGGACTAGTTGGATAGCTCTTTCAAAGGACAGGCACAGGCACGATGGGCCGAATGGCCTCCTTCTGTGCTGTAAGAATCTATGAATCTATGAAGATGGGTTTTGCTCGGAATTTCTTGAAGTCAGTTGAATATGAACTTTGCTGTCACAGTTAATCCAGTTGATATGTTTCTAAAATGTGATTTGAGTTGTTTGTAAAATAAAAAACAAAACTGAAACCAGAACTTTAACGGAGGAAGTCTCTGATCAGTTAGATATATAATATTGGAATATTCTGCCTGCACATTGGTTGTATTTTGTTTGCTTTTTTGCAGCATATTTCATCAGCGCTGTGTGGGCAGCAGGACTATTTCAGTAGATCTGTGGGTGGTTCGATTTAATTAGGTAGTGCTTGCTTGCTCACATATGCTTTTGCGAGCTTTAGTGTTCTTGTTGCAGTTAAATACCCTTCTCTTCCAAATTAAAACATTGATTCTCTTCCCCGTTAAAATAGTGTTTGTTAGACATACATAGGTATAGATTTGATTTTGGATTTTGAATCTCATTTCAAGACCCTTCCACTACTTAGCATTTTTTTCTTTTTCTTTTATTTGTTCAGATTAAAATGTACATTGTGGAAATTTTTTAGGTCAGAAATAGTTAACTAAGAGATTTGAGAACTGATACCGAAAAACGGCAGTGTCACTTCTCAGAGATAATATGGTAAAAGCAAATCTGGAATGTCAAAGGTACATGTTCATTCCATCTTCCTTGGCCTAACATTTCATGATCATCATTACTTGTGTACTAGTACATCCTTTTCTGAATGAATTTTAAAGAGCCCGAGGACAAGATTATGTGCTAACAATGCAACTGATATAACCCTTGAGGTAAAAGCTATATTTACGTGAAAGCAATTACTCCAGAATCTGGTATCAGGTAAGTGCAATACAGCCTGAATCTCATTTGTAATTTTTTGAACTGTTGGGAGTGATATATGTTCCATTGTTATGTGGCTCGTGCTTATATAACATGCTCGATATAAGGGATCATTTAAAGCACACCTTAAAGATAAACTGCATATGAAATCAAGCTTATATTTTAGTCAAGCGAATGATATCTGATATTTGTAATGTAAAAGTTACATCCTATTTAGGAACAGTATTAACCTTTGGTTTCAGCATTCCATTTTTTTGTGTAAGCAGCAATGTAGCTTGGTGTAAAACAAAGATGAATTACTTGCAAAGAACTAATGATGTTTTCATCCAGTATAATTTTCAGAATAGATGCAACGTGAAGAGTTAAAGCTATCACTGAAGGCACCATGTTGAAATCAAACACTGGCACAATAGCCTTTTCTGTTGTTGATTGCGCTATGCATCTCAGAACTGTTTGTAGGACATTGGTGTGTGCAAATTGGCTGCTACATTTGCGTACAAAATACACAATTACTACACTTACACTACACTACAGTAAACTGCTTTAAGATACCTTCCTGGTGTGAAAGGCGCTATATTATTATTATCGATTCCGAGTCCCTAAGTTCTGCAAGTTTCAGCGCCTTGGGACATTTTCGCGACATGAAAGGCACTATACAAATGTAATCTTGTTGTTGTTGTTCTGATCTATTCCAGTACATAACTGACGTATTGATATTATTGATATCCTTTTACCCAAACCTTCAGGATATGACCATTGAACTGGTTGCCTATCTGCTCCCCACCCCACCAATTTGATTATGGCCTCACAGGGTTCTCCAGTTCAAATTTCTCCTCTCTAAATAATAATAATAATAATAATCCTTGCATTTGATATAGCGCTTTTCACATCTTCTAGACGTCCCAAAGCGCTTCACAAAATATACTGTAAAGTGAATTGACTGTATATTTCCCACATAATTAAGAAGTAGCACAAGTAAATTATGTTACCACAAATCATGCTTTTATTTTTCAAGGAGCTTTCCTTGTAACCTATAACACTTACCAGCTTAACAAGCTTGAAAATGGACGCTGATGTAGAAGCAAAAGTTGATGGATTTCCAATTATTTTATGATAATTAGATTGTCTCTAAGTCGCTAGGTACATTGTGTAGCTTTAGTGACTGTGCGGAGTCTTACTCTTCTATTACATTGAAACATCTTGAAGCGCCTCACAGTAATTACAATAATTATGGTATGGTGACGAGAATCTAATTTTTAGCTTGACAATTTTTTGCCACAATAATGTTTAAGAGCTCTGAGACGCTACACTGCATGGAGGGCGCTATATAAGTGCATGCTGTTGTTGTTGTTGTTTAGGTCAAGGGAATTGCTGTTGTTGTGTGGATTTCTGGAAGGCATTTGATAAGGTAACACATAAGAGGTGTGTTGCAAAACCTGAGGCACGTTACAGTATTAAAGGGAATGTGGTAGTATGAGATAGCTGAAGAACAGGAGGAGCAAAGAGGTAATCAGAGATGCACACTATGGACTGAGTACAAGGTATTGGGTACAAGGAGACATACAAGGATCTACCTGTTCTCCCATATGTATGTAAAGCATTACAGATGGATTAAATGTAATATTGGTAATTTTCAGATATCTGTGGGTTTCCTTTCCTGGAGGAGATTTATTTTTTAAATAGGTATGTCGAAGTTGCTTTTAAATTCAAAAAAACAATTTCTTTATTTCTGTGCTTCGTAAGTTTCAGGAAACAAATGCCTCAATATGAAATTGTGAGAAAATGTGTGCTCAGCAATCATGTATTATTCCGTAGCAGCAACCAGAGGCGTCGGCAGGCAAATTAGATCATTAGTAATAATCTTTATCTCAACCTATTTCCAGGAAAGCTGTGCCCGGGTTCTGTTGTTTCGTGGAACCAACAAGGAAATAAAGAATTACAACAGCCAGACACCTTTTCAGGTAAGAATTTTGTCGTGATTACATTTTTTTCTAATAGAGAAGCTTTGCAGTAAACTACATCGCATGACTGGAACACCTGGGCCTGCAGGTTTATAAGGGGAGAGCCAGGCATTCTAGTATCAAATTCACCTTGTAAATGTATTGACGCTGTATTGTTACCTTGTCAGAAACCACAAGTCATTTCATTGCATGTCCAGAATTTATTGTCTTCACTCCAGCTGGCGAGGTCAAAGATTACTTTAGAGGCTTTACCTATTCAAAGAAATAGAATATTTTGGGGAAATGGTTTGGTCTAATGTGTGTAACCCTAACAAGTTAATAAATCTTTAAAGTAGCTAACAGTGTGGATAGTTGTTGCCCAGTTATTGCAGCATTGGGAGACGTCCCAAGGCACTGGGACATGTCTAAGATTGACGTCGAACTGGGGATGGGGTTGGGGGCCGAAGGGGTGGAGGGCGAGGAAGGTGAGGGGGGAAAGTTTTGGACATTTTCACAAACCACCAAGGAATCTATTTAAAGAGAGAAAGTGAACAAGTAGAATTCCTTCTAATTCCTTACAGAATTTAGTATTGCATGCTCACAACAAAATGGAAGTTAATTCTTATTCGCTACAAATAAATAAATAAATAAATAATTGTGGATTTAAATAGATACAGAACGGTTTGTGTAATTGCCTACAAAATACATAGCCATACACTTAACAGTCAGTCCTGTAAAACTCTTTGAGATATTTCGACAACGTGATACGGCGCTTTGTCAATCAGAGTGTGGTTTGTACCAATACAAATGTACAGCTAGTGTAGTATTATGTGCTGATCAAGCGTTTTGTTGAGCATTTCAGATGATGTCACTCAGCAGGAATTGACAATTTTACAGCTTTGACAAACACCTCGCGGTATGTTTTGCGCTGTAGGAGTTGTGGTTTGGAACACGATTCTGAAATTACCATCAGTTTGTTGATACATAACAGCACCGGTAACCTTCAATTCTCCCACTAAACGAGAATTACATTTTCAAAAAGAAAAAATTGAACCATTTTCAACCCTGAAACTGAATGACCTGTTTACGTTATGGGGTCTTTTGTAATATCCTGCAAGAATGCAATCTGGTTAAAGAGAACCAAAACATTTGCTAAAGTGCAGGGAGCAACGACAGTTGTACAAAACCAACCCTGGTATGGAATGAAAAAGAACTGAACGTAAATGAATATTTATTTATTCATGGCATTTTTGCATTCAGTCGAATGATTACAGATTGTTTGCAGATGAACTATGAACATGGAATATCAAATCAGGTGAACAACACATTTGAAAGGATACCTGTTGGTTATCATTATTAACAACCGGTTAAATATTCAGAAATAATGTTTTATTGATATCTAATTTATCTGCCAACATATTATTGCTCACCGGAAAAAACATTCAAAGAGAGCACCTTGCACTAGCTTCAAAATATTTCTTACATTTCTAATGTAGTTTCTAGGCCAAACAAAATAATGACAGCCGCAGACTGCAAGGTGACACAAATTAGGAATATTGTTCTGTAGTAGAGTGCTAACCTCATACATCTCTGCTACTGTAGCTTTGAATTGTTGGAAGCTGGAATTGATGAAGTGGATTTCTGTCCCTGGTTTCTGTGGTGGAATCACTTACACAAGCTCACTCGTCAATTTATGGAGAAACATTGCGGTTCTCCGAATAATGATACAGTTCATAGAAATTAAGCAGTTTCATCATCCCACTCCCAACATTTTGGCATCAGGTTACCAGAGCAAATGACTGAAATGGTCTTTGCAGGCATCTATTTCATAATCGCTGCCAAGTGTATGGGACTTGGTGGCAATGAACTTATAATGGAAAATATAAATTTAGTAATTTTTTTCATTGGGAAAGATAGCTCTCAAAGCACATCAGAATCTGAAGAGTCCTCCGCAACCCTGCCTATTCGATTTTCTTATTAGACTCATATAGTTAAGGGTGGTCAGGCTTATACTGTTGACATACAAACGGGTTAAACACAAGAATAATCAAATTACAAGGATTCTCACTACAACAATCAATAGACCAAAATTCGGTCTTGAGTGTGCTTCAGAAATTAAAATGTTCAGCTATCCCTAGCAGAACAGTAGCTGGCATGATAATATACATGCTGTCTGCAACATTGAGCCACTGATAACGTATTCGGTTGTGTACTGATTTCTGTTCAAATAGATGTATTGGGCAGCATATCAGATAAAAAGTTGAAAGTACTTATCCTGGAGAGGAATAGAAAGTGTTTTAACTGTTTTCTCAGGGAATCAATATATCAAATCAAGTAATTTGAAAGGTTCAGCTGTTTTTGAAATATAAATAGCTTCTTGAAACATGAGACAATGAGATTGCTGCACAGAAGGAACATGTGAAATGGCAAATGAAGTTCTCTAGATTGTGCTGACATCTTATTCTTCTGTGTGGGAGGAGGTCACTTTAAAAAACATTTTGGTATTTTAAACCATACAATTAATTTTGGAGATTGCTGACCTGTTTTGCGTAAACTAACTTAAGGTACTAAGATTATTATTTATTTTTAGTTACGTTCGATTATTTTTCAATAATAAAATACACTGATATTTCAAGCTATTTATGAATTGCTCACCTCACTAAACTCACTCAAATTAATTCCGAAAAACTAGCAAAAAAAATTCACAAATAACTGTCTATGGACTTGAATAAAGTTTGCTAACAAAAGTGCAGGTCTGGGACATTGGATATCCAGAACATACGATTATTCATACGGTGAATATACAATGGTTTGCGAGAATCTGTGATTTTAAAAAAAAAGTTACAAATTGATTAAATTTTTTGGAAAACGCATCTGTAGGAGTTCGAAATGATTGCAGGGCTATGGAGAGAAAGCGGGCCAGTGGGATTGAGTTGGATTACTCTTTTTGGAGTTGGCACAGACAAGATGGGCCGAACGGCCTCTTTCTGTGCTGTATGATTCTATGAAAAGGAAATTAATTGCTCAACAACTGAAGGCTCTTTGTTAATCTGTTCCTAGAATGATGTGCAATTTGTTTTCCCAGGTGGCTATCATTGCAGGAAACTTCGAGCTGGCTGAGTTTATTAAGAACCACAAGAAAACGGATATTGGTGAGTTAAACATCAATGAAACAAAGATAAATATAATGCGATCAAAGGCAAACTTGTGCTTTTGTTGGTTCTTCAGAATCAATGATATACTACTTCACAAAAAATTGTTGCAATTTATAAGTATTGATTCAGGCAATTGAAGTCACAGTGTGGATACGGGAGCAATGTGGATAGCACCATTATTGCCTTCCATTGGAAATCTCTGTTGGAATATTTTGACAGTGTTGATGCATGCAGGGATCGTAATATCTGTAAGATGGAAAGTTAAAGTCCTAAAATTTATGCAATCTTCTTGCCTGGAAGTACAGAGATTGGAGTTCAGCTTTATCCACATATTTTCAATGATTAAAACTCTACTATGTATGTAGGGAATGGTGGGCTGGGATATTTATTCTTCCAGGATGTCCAAGTCCCTTGTTGAAGTGTCTGCACCAATTCAAATATAATGTGAAGTTAACAGAGGCCCAAACAATTCCATTCCCTCCTTGACAATGGTGTTTCATCGGATGAGAAGGGATATTTACCCATTACCAAATAGGTAGGAGAGGGCCTTGATTAGTGGATTGAAGGATACTGATGAGTGGGTCATTGAGACATAGTCGACATGACCAAATGTACATGATAAAGTAGATCTGCTGGATTATTGATTCGTTGTTTAGATTCTGTGACTTGCAAACACCTTGAAATATGGTCATGCTGTCTCTATATGCCAACCTGCTCTCTGATGACTGTGAATTATTTATTGGACTGGATCTCACTGCTGAACAATATTCCAGATAACCTACTGATTGGGGGGCTCACTGTTGCTTTTCCCAACTAAACCGACTGACTTCCACTGTTTGATGAGACTCACATAGCGATGAACTTTTTTTCCCTTCCATTTTTTGGAGCTATTAGACGGGACTTACTTAGCGTTTTCTGCATCAGTGATCAGCAACATGTCAGCCAACATAATGCGGAGAATGCGTCTCATGGTAAATGTAATCTCTCTTTTATACTTAACTGATGCGTAATAGATTTTCTACAATTTTCATGGTTGTATAAATCCAGGTGATGTGCCATCTGACATTATGCTCTCAAAGCCTGTGTGGGGGAGAAAAAAAAATTGTCTAACAATTAAGCTAAAATTTTTTTTGCTTATTTCCAATAAAATTCATTTTAACACACTTATGTCTTGAGTTTTAACTTGAGACAGGTTTCCGTCGGTGCTCTTTAATGAATTAGTGTTTGTAAATCAGAAATGGCATTTTTATTCTGAATGTTTATATAGCATTAGAGTTTCTTGTTTAATTTCAATAGTTGGGATGCAGTTGGAGGTCAAGCAGAGGATTAAATGCAGTGACGAATACCAAAGTTAATCCTCGTTTGTTTCTGACCAGCCGGCAGCTGTCGTCGGCAAACAGATGAAAGACATTCGAGGATTATAAACATCTGGTGTGCAGCAGCTAGCATGGCTTCTGTAATATGGATGTAGTGGTAGTAATATTTAGGAGCTTTAGCGCTTTTATTAATTATGTTAATAACAATGTTGCATTATACTACAAGATAATAGTCATGTAATTGTTGCTTGGATAGCCTAGCTTTCTCTTTGGGATGTCGTGTGTTGATGTGTGTTCAAAGGGATTAGCTGTCATGGGCTGCACTTCCTCTTTCTGTGAACAAGGTTTGTTGTTCTCCAGTAATTCCTCGGATTTCAATGCCGTTTTGTCGTTTTTGTGAGTTGGACATTTTTATCCTAAGTTGTTTTTTTCCCTCCTGTGTTTTGATGCTGTCCCAATGGTTTGAGTTCACAAGTTCTTCCCAATTTTGCAATGAGATTGGCTCTGGACAATGCTGACTTCACGACAAAAACACCTACAGAATTGGTTAGGCTATCAGCACCATGTTCACTCGGAAAATGACAACTCAATACATCGATAAAAAAGGCAATTTGTTTGCAGCCGCCTTGGTCTCGAAGAATCAAGATAGGAAATTTGTTGACGCCTTCTATGGAACCAGCATGTGAGTTCTAAATCACATCTGTGGAACATTCCTGTTTAAAGTACTTATAAATATGTAAGCAAATAATGTACCGACAAATGTGTAAAACTGATAGATCACACACTAATGGAATGGAACATAATGAATGGAAGGTAACAGTTTCTTGTAAATATAGTTGAAACCAATTTTCTGTGTACTCTAACTCCAATACCAACTTTCAGAGATCGAGACAATTGTACGTTTAGATAGCTGAGCTGATTAACACAGGAAAATAGCAATTGTGGTTCTACGAATGTGTGTGTTTTTTAAACCTGTTTCTTAATTTTTTTTGCAATATTTCAAAATCTGGGGATAGTTAACATTGATGTATACAAGACAACATTTTTATGTTTATTAAGAGCAGGTTGCCAATCTGGTTGTATTGATTGGTTTGCACACTCCTTTCCATCAACGACAAATAGGTTTGTAAGAATTAAGTGCACTCACTGGGAACCTGAGTACATCACTATTGCAAGTATTCAAAATATTCACCCTATAGCTTTATTAACGCAATGCAAATCCAAAACGAAATTTAAAAAAAATGGTAATTGTAAATAGAAATTTTAAAAAGTCAACGCTTTCTGTTCATTGTGGTTTTTGCTGATCTCTATTCTCTTTCCTAATCTCTCTGTCCATCCTATTTTGACTTTAATTTTGCTCTTTTATAATAACTGCCTATTTTAACTATTATCTCTCCCGGTTCTTTGAAGTTTAAAACTATTTGCTTACCTGTTTCTGTGCACTCACCATTCGTTTTGCCAGTGTGAGCATTTTTAAAGTTGGCCAAGCAAACAGCCTTGAATAACAACAACAACAAAATTACATTTATAGAGCGCCTTTCACGTCGGGAGGACGTCCCAAGGTGCTGTTTCAAGATTGAAGTGTTACAGAGATGAGAGAATTAAAGTTTGCTGTGTACTCCTGTATTTTCACGTGAAAAGGCAGCTGATGACTGAGTGTGCTCCTCTGTGGCTCAGAAAGTGTATTCTTTGTGGTGCACTAAGGGTTAAAATAGTTAATCTGCAATGATATAATAAATGCACTTCAATGATTAGACAGCAGGACAGAACAACGGGTATTAATGCGATTTAGATGATAGAAGACAGAGCTGCCAATATTCATTGAAACACCCATCTATGTTTCACTACTGAAAAGGCCAACTTTGTGCACAGGAACAATATGATAGAAGAGTGAAATGGNAAAAAAATCATTAAACCTAATGTATTGCTAGGAGGTTTTGCATCTGAACAAACAAAAGCCTTCTGAAAAGAATTTGCCAGTAGAAAGGAGTGATCTAAGTTTGCGATATTTCCAGCAAAGCTCAGGTGCTATAGACCTACTTATTTCTAAGTTCAAACTTCATAAAATAACGATATTAAATACTTGTAGGATCCTACAATTTGAGGCTCTAAGTTTTCCTGGTAGCTTTCAAAATATACAGACAATGTCTACTATTCATGTTAGAGAATGCCGAATTTCTGCCATAGTTATTGTTGTCACCTAATACTTTTTCAACTATTTTTTAATATGACAGAAAAAGCACCGCCCTTCTTTAGAATTGCATTGACCCAGATTCAGTCTGACACTGATGGAGAATGATCTATGGATGTGTGCAGGTACATCTTGAAGGAGCATTTATGTGGAAACATTTTAGGTGATGTTAACAAGTGGATCAGTAGCTCGTTTTCTATGTTGGTGAAACTTTCTACAGCAATAATAATTTGTGTTTTTAATAGCATAAACTAGAAATGAGATGATAGGATTTTTCAGTATTTATGTTGTTCTTTGAATAAATTGATAGCCAAAAGAGGTTAGAAAGATGAAGACGGAAATAGAGAAAGTCTTAGAACATTTGTGGCAGCAATTTGTGGTGAATATCTTTGGCACCGATGCTATGTTTAACTTTAAGCCACCGTGGGACTGACCCATGTTGCCAGCCAACTGAATATGATTGACAAGGAAAGTAGTGAATGATGAACCCGATGAAATTGAGGTTTTATTGGATTTGCTGTTAGGAATAGAGTGAACCAGGCACAATCTGCAAGATATCCACAATGGCCGGAAGGCAATCTATTTAGTTCTCTGTTTTAATTTGGCGACTTTCTCTACTAATAATAACAAACTACGAATTCATGTTTTGGTCTGGAATCCTGAACGACACCATGTTTAAGATAAGATGCTGAAGGAAAGTTACATCATGTGAGGAATTAAGCCTGGCCAAAGACCTGGATTTACAAGGACCATTAGAAGAACTGAAATCAACTAATAATAATAATAATCCTTGCATTTGATACAGCGCCTTATCAAGTCTCTGAGATGTCTCAAAGTAAGAGTAGTGATTTGAGCAAATCATGAAGGATAAGGATCACGCACCCAATTAAGTAGCGCAGAGAATCTAAATGTCATATGCCCAGGAATGTACTGATAATCAGCGCCCTTTCATTTGAATCCTTCATGATGAAAATGATATAATTCTATCTGTGGTAATTCAAATATTCAGCAAAAGTGTGTTTTTTTTGGAGTGGGAGAAAGCCAATTGGAATAAAGAAATTGAAAAAACAAATCTGCCTTATTTAGTTAATCCATTGAATTCACCTCTTTGTATTAAAATAACAAAAGGAGTTGGTTGGCGAGAAAAAATTAGTGTGCGTAAATGTCATGGGAATGTGACAAGGAAAATAAGCAGGAGGGTGGAGAATAAAAACACACGCGTGTTTTTACCACTTTTTGAATTTAATGTGCCAAAATTACTCAGCAATTTCCCTGCCATAAAAGTAGACCAGTGCATGACATTGGAGTTCTGCAAAATGAGAGCTGCCACAAGCTATAATTATAGATTTTTTTTCAAGGCGGGGAATAATGGTCAAAGCTGTCAAGAGATCTGGGAGTTAAAGAAGAAATTGCTGAGGAAGTGACTGTTGCTAGATCAGTTTAAATGGATGATTCATTAGCATGGTTTGTATATCCTGTTATTGCCCAAA